AATAATAATAATAACATAATAGGTAGCTTTTGCATCTCACAAATTCCGGATCAACAGCGAGCTCTATGTGCTTTCTAGTCTATTTTACTACCCTTGCGGCGACACCCAAAAGGGTATAAGCGGCGGTAAAAAAACAACAAAAACCCATTGCCCCAGTAGACCTGATAGCATTCTGTTTTTTAGTTTTATTAAGGTTTTACGGCGCTCGCAACTGCGTAAGGTCATATGAGCGCCAATGTAGCATTCTGAAACAATCTTAACTTCCTGGGAAGCTTGAAGTGCAAGTTGCCATTTTATAGGCGCTAAAACACTTAGATTAACATTCTGACAAGATCTTACGCTGTCTACGGTCAGGTACATATTCCCACCTCGGCAGAGTGAGGAATATTCATGTAACGTGCCTTTCCCAGGGACACAACGTCGGGCCAGAGGCTCGAAACTCGAATCTGCAACCCCATGATAATGAATCCTGTAGCCTAACCACTACACTACCTCGGAATTACAACGTTCTATCTGGCATTTCTGATCGTTTTCAGTTACTACGACCATGAGGTCAGAAACCAAATGCTCTATCTGCTCTATCAAAATCGTAAGAATATTCGGAGTTGTTACCAATGAATAGCATTTGTATATATATCAAGATAGATCTATTCTAAGAATTGCATTCGAAAAAGCTTGACATTTTGTGGAACTCAAATTTTTTAACGTCAAATTTCTCAAAACTAGGTACCAAGCAGATAGAACGTTGTAATTCTCGGGAAGCGACTAGACTACCAACGTCTTCCATCATGACAACACGCCTGTGCACACTGTTCGGAACTTCCCCGATCTCCTGGACTCCTGGCACTGGGAAATCCCTGAGTATACCCTTTATCCCCAATGCTTAGCGCCACGCCACTTTCATTTCTTCCCCCACATCGAAGAAGGACTAAAGGGACAGGGTGATTTGAAGAGGAGGAAGAAATTGAGCTCGAAACAAATAAATACTATCTTAGGGACTCTGGCCGAAGCGGACATGGTCACTGCGTTTGACCATTGGCTACATCGGGTTAAAAAGTGCATTGATATCAACGGTTGTTATGTTGAATAGCAAAGTACACATTTCTGTAGGTATGCACACATTTTCACTTTCAGGTCCGGAGAATAAGAATTGTTGATTTAACCGAACTGGGAAACGTCAATCTGGGACAGACCTCGTAGAAGCTACTCCGGGTGTTGACCATTTCCCTCATTTAAGACAAGCTCGAGTATGCCGCTGGAAATTTGGGAAAACCTTGAAACGTGTTTCCAGGTCGATTCCTTAATACTACATCTCCTATTCAACATTGAATTTCAACTAATCGAGTGTTTGTGGTCTGGGGAACTGTCACCCCCCCCAACCCCCCCCCAAACAAAACAAACA